TTTAAGAAATTAAATGTGTCCATGACGTCATAAGGCAACTGTCAAGACTGAAGTGGAATCAGCAAACACTTAAGCTGTTAAAAAATACTTTAGGAATAGAATAAAGAATTACAGAAATGAAAAGATGTGCATGACGATAAATTGAACGAACGCATAAACAAAGTAATTCAATAAATTATGACACATCCTATTATGTTAATATGTGTGAAAGAATTCTGCCTAAGTGGTCATATTTAAACAATCGGTATCAGAAAACTATTTGTCATACTGGCGATTTTCTTTTTCCTATATTAATTTTATATGATAAGAATATAATAAGAGAGTAACAGTCAGACGAAAGCATTAAAATTATAATTTTTTATAATTTAATGGCAGTAAACCATTATTTTAAAGCATCCATTTCATTATTAGAATTAACAACTTTTTCTCTAACAAAACTTTGAGCGAAGACGTACGAGAGAATATCGTGAGGCCCTACATATAGTCATTCTCACTTTTAAAAAAACACGTTGTCTCCAACAATTCAATCTCAGCTGACTACCCATATAAGAAAGCAATATGAAACGACCGTAACAATCAATATATTTAACTTTTTCCCCCATGTATGATTATATGTCCCAAGTTTCAGCTCGACAGGTTGACAGGAAGTGGGCCATTTCACAGTGCGAAGCTTTTGTCAGCCAGCCACGAAGATAATATAAAGGATTTTAAAAGATAATAATTGATTTGATGCTTCAAATAATTTAACTTCGCATGAAACGTAAGGCATTTGAACAAAAACGTTAGCTCTCTAACATCAACATAATTTGAAAATATTAAACACGAAACACAAGTTAATGTTTATGGCAAAATGTTAGCGCCCACACACTTATGTCACCATACATCCCCTGTCTTTTCTGTTGCTCTGTGTTTCTCATATTAATTATAAAAAGTATAAAGTTGAAAGACTATTGTTTTCGAGCTAGCGTTTTGTTGTACCATTTTTTAAAATCAATTTTTATAGTATAATAGTTATGAAACAATGTATAACTTTTTGAATCGTAATACTGTTTTCTTTCCAATTTGTCACAAGCAAAATGTTTACTAAAATTTTTGTTAAATTTATTTGACAATTAAAGAACAAAATGGGTCAAACAAGACGGAGACAAATAAAGAAAAAATGCACATCTGACAAAACTCTTTATTTATTTGATGACATTAAATATACATATATTTGAAAATACCTTATTATAATATAACAATTCATTTTTAACGACATTTAATTATATTATTTCATTCCCAATTACACATTTTAAAAGAAAGGGGGGAATTTTGACCCATTTCACAATAAGTTATAGGGGCACCAATCTCAATGCATCTGTCGTTGGCTTCACATATTTTAACGTATGCATTCATCATGACTCTAATCATTTGATAACAATTCATATTAATTCATTCAATTACACAGATATAATTTCATCTCCATATTCTACAGTATGAAAGAATGGTAATTAAGTGTACTATTCTCCCTTTTATATAATACATACTTAGTTGAACTTCTTAGGAAAAGAAATGTTTCTGGGTTAAAGATAAATATCTCATTAATTGATGTTTAAATTATCCCTTAACTTATCTAGACTCCTATTCAAAAGGATGTGATTTATAAATTTTAATAAACATATTGTAAAACTAAAGCTCAAGACATGTAATCCGTGTTACCACTACAGAATCAGAAAAAAATGTGTACGCTCTATGCAAGTAATTCAGAAATGCGACGCGAATGTTTGTTTGCGCTTTAAGCGCTCTTCAGTTCGTTACTCATAGTGAGCAGGGATTTGAAACGTATACATGGCAGTCTTCTAGGGTCAAATAATTTTAAAAAAAACAACATTTGGTTAGATCATGTGACAAAAATACCAGTATGATAGCCATAGACTTAGGATTGCAAAAATATAAACAAAATTAGGAAATTCCATTCCTAATTTGAATAATTCATAACTAAAGTCAAGTTTGAAACTTTTTATTTTAAAGTTTTTATTTCCACAGATTAGTGGTTGAATTACAATTTGAGTTGAGATAGAGCTGAAAAAAAATTTCGATTATTCGTCATTCATTAAAATTTATAATTTTTCATATATGATGCAAATTAACTTTACTCTTATATTGCCACAACTAATGCAATTAAAATCCATTTCGAAAAACCAGTAGAGCAAACAACGATAAGAGTTACACCCAGCGTTTCAGACGTGTCTTTTGTGCTCTGCTTCCGTTAGCTTCATTTTTGTATGGAGTCTTTGTGTACAGCGGAACGCTACGTTGCTCGGTTCTTTTGCCGATTCTTGCCATGTGTTTGGTTCTATCTCCATGGTTGCGGTGGGGCTTTTAGGTTGTGTTTAAAACAAATCGTTTCTTCTACCAACCACCAAAGCACAGTCCAAGCTTCCGTTCACCATAGAACCATAGAATACTTTTCCGGACAAGTGGTCGTCTTCCATTTTCATAACATGTCCTGCCCTGCGAAACTTGGTCTACCTTTAACATCGGAAAGGTTGATGGTGAGACCCGCTTTTGTAGACACCTTAGTGTATGGAAACACTCCCCGCCATTTGATTTTGATGATTTCACAATGGATAAAGGAGCACAGCCACCTTGTATACCTTCATTTGAGTTTTAGTGAAGAAACCCCGCCTGGTCCATAGGTTGCACTGGCTCTTGCAATGTGAAGGTTGTCCTCATCATCGATGGTGCACTTTGGGACAGTGTGCTGTTAGACTATGATGAACTAAAAACCGATTTAACCTTGATGACATATGATTGAAATGTGGGCTCGATTTCATGATTTGGTTATAATTTTTGCTTACGTGTCTTAAAAAGTGGATGTGTGTAAGAGAGAGATAAAAGATAATAAATTCCTAGTAAAAAAAAAAAAGGACAGAATGATTATAAAAAAGGAAAATATAAATGTGTTGGGTTAGAATAAAAGGGAATCGGGTTTATCTCAAAGTAAAGCATTCGCTTGAAGCCTGATGGTAATGTATTTGCACTTCTTATTTACAAAGATACTTAGCATGTTCTAAATACTTGCATTTCGGTACAAAGTTTATCTTCATTACTGTAATAGTAGAATTAAGATCTAAAATAATTAACGAAACAAATATTTGTTTTTAAAAAATACCAATTTGATTCAATACATTTTCCATTTTCAATGAAACACTTATTTTATTGAGGATAACTACATTTTCTGGAAAGATAAAATAAGTTTAGTTTAAAAGACTAATCGAAGAAATAACTTTCAAAGCTTTTTCATTTTATTTTAATGGTGCTCTTGATCAATACTCGTATAAGTTTACAATTATAAGTGCCAACAGTGTTTAGGCAAGAGAAGATTTTATAAACATTTGTTTAGTAACCATTTAATACTAAATTATAGTGCTGCTAATGAAATCCAGGAAAGATTGTGAATCATATTCATTTTAATTACAAATATTGTTTTTCCAGTAAATAAAAACATTAATTACTTTACAAGCGTGAAAGGAATATTGAAATACGTACGTGACGATGGGTCCAATGGCATATCACATGTGTTCAGTGCTTATAATAACTTTCAGTCGACTTACACTCATCTCTGAGTTTTCGTATAAATCCATGTTTATTAATTCATTGTATACTAATATACTAATTTGTACACCCCAGATTTATTTCACAAAATATTTAATAAAAACAAAAGAAAATACTACCCAACAAGCGTACTTTACGAATCTCATTTAACGAAGTTATCTGGAATATTTATCTATCAAATCAGTGGCATCATACTTCCATCTTACAAAAAATTGACTAAATTTGATGTCATCGGCCACAAGTCTATGCGCCAAGTTTCAGTCTGGCGGGAAGTTGGTCAATTAGCCGTCCGAAGATTTTTCCACACAAACAGACATAAAGAGGCATATTAACAAAAGCGTAACCACTATAAACGATTTAAACATCTTCCTTCCAAAAAAGGTTATGTTTATGTACACGACGTCTTTAATTCACATTTCCCCGTGCCGTGAACTTTGAATGACCCAATCTAACAGACGCCACGTTTGTATTGGGCGTGGCCTATTTTCTTTTATCTTGACCTTGTGTACTTCCCTTAACAACAAAAAATAATCAATACGTTCTAATAGAATAAATTTAAAATTCGCGATTGGACCAGAAAAATAAACAATGTATATAGCGCTTCTAAATATTTCGGTAGAGCCGACGATAGATTTAAAAAGGGGATTCAGAGAGCATAGGTTGGAGATGGATAGAGATATTTTTTCACAAGTGCATTATTCTGTGTATACTCATGTGTGTTTATTCGCATTCATCATTGTACCTTATTAATTGGCACATTGTACTAGCTGTGTACCAGTACAAGACATCCCATACTCTGTAAGTTGATGATTGTAATTATATTTCTTTTGTTTTGTAATTATATTAATTCGTAAATAAATCTTATTAATTGTAATTAGTACTATTTTTTAGTGTAGATTTTTTGCTATTGTATTTCTCTATGGTGTCGACCTTTGTTAAGCACTGTTTAGAACGATCCATAAAATTAAAATAAGAGATTAATTTCTCGCGATAGAAGGCAGTGGGTAACAGGTTCCCATCATAAAAAGCACTGCAAGCATTATTTTACACAGTTAACGCAAATAATTGTTGTTGTTTTTCTTGAAACTTCCGCGTAATAATTACATGTCCAAATAGTATCGAGTTTTATCAGAGTCAAAGAGAAATAAAAAATGTTTTACAGAAAGGTCTATACATTTGTGTGGATTTTCAGATCTGGTCATTTTCATAAATCGTAAATGAATTTCATAGTTATGTTAAGAAGGCATGAGATAACAATTGTAATGATTGTAAAAAATGATATCATATTATTATATTCATTAATGCGTGATTCATCTGATAATAGCGTACAAAAATAAAGTATAAATTTCCCAAATTTAATTGATTGTATTGATTATTTTAAATTTCAAAATAGTATAACTTCCTACAGATAAATTACAAATTAACTCTTCGATATACTTTAACACATTTGCTATTCTCAATTACATAGATATTAGTTTTCAAATTGACGATTTGGGTAAGAAGAAATATTTTTAAAATTAGAATCAAAACTGGTTTCGGCATAATAATCCAAATGTTATTTCACATAAACATTTATTTTTTAAGCTTTCTAAAACTTCAGATACATGAGAAAACATGAAGTAAGAGTTCTCCTCATAATCAGGCGCGTGTAATTATCGGAAGAGTAGGATATTTATAATGGAATACTTTTAGCCTCTAAAACTATTCGCCGTTTAGACACGGACCATGAAATATATATCGAGCGTAGCCATATTTCATACATACCACTAATTGTAATCAGTGATTGCGCCTGTCACAATTCTTTTTTTTTTAAAATGTTTTAGAATGACGATTTTTACTTTTTAATCAAATATTTTTTAACATTCATTTTCCTCCGTTGCAGGCACTTGCCTTTCCTCGTGGGGCACTGACCCCTCGGAGGGATGCCTAGGAGGAATACTTGTTAAGGGTGCACCAGAAGTTTTAGCCGCATGGGCTGACACAGACACTAGGTTAGAGCTCTTCTCGGGCCGAAATGTGTAGACTTTACAGAACGAGTTTAAATGGTCTTCTTTCTCTTCTGTTGTTGCAGGTCTGATGACCGACTCAGTAAAATCGTGTACAACCAAATGCTCTTCATATTTATTGATGGCTTCCCTCAGTTCACGCTGAAGTCTGCATTTGAATGGGAAAAAAAACAATAAATGTTTATAAAAAAACTTCATCAATAACAACTAACAGATTTGTTACCGCTGTTTAATAAATTGAGAAATGGTAGATCTTATCCTCCTTACAAAAGTCAAATGTTTATGAAAGTCTCACTTGCGGTTAAATTCGTCGATACGATCTAATGCTCCTTACAGAAGTTAAATGTTTATGAAAGTCTCACTTGCGGTTATATTTGTTGATCGATTTCCCTGACGAACCTCCTGGGTTAAAGTGCTGGACCACAAGCGGCACGATTATGGCAACAAATGAAGCGAAGAATCTGTTTGAAGGGGATATATGGTATAGATCTCCGTACGCCATAATGCTGATAAACACCAAAGAAACCATCATTGGAGGCCACACACAAAGCTTTCCGAACCGCAGAACCTGAAAATAAAATTCTGTGTTAATTTCTAGTTTACATGAGTATTTTTTCTCCTAATAGTTTATTGTGTTCGCTCATTATGGTAACGAGATATTTTTAACTAGTATATATGGTTAAGGAAAACTAATGAATGTTAGTTAAAATATCTTTCTTTTATTGATAAAAAATGGAATAATTTTGGGTGGAATATATCGTGTATATTCATTTTCGACGAATAAATAAATAATATTTTAAATGAGTCAACATTTTACAATGATAACAATTTAAGCACAAGACATGTAAAGTATTTCTCTAGAGTAGAAATTGGCCATCTATGAACCGCTCGAGTTGCATAATTTAAGCTAAATAAACTATTCATTTTTATCACTAATTGAAATATAGATGTGGACGAATATCTGCCCAAGAGTGTTTCAGGCCCTCATGCATCCACTTTTATACCCACGAAGTAATGAAAAATTCTGTATTATTTTCATTTTTTTAATAGCTTTTCCACTGTCCAATTTTCTTTCGAGCCTCACAAGTTTTTCATAAAGTTTTACGGCGCTTTACCTTTTGAATTGTGTAGGCCTGCCTTAGAAGATGAGAAAGCCTGCAATTTAGTTTGAAGTGAGAATAATTTCAGGTCGTAAAATTCGATTTGTTAAAATAAAAACAACCCTTGAATTTAAGGTTCGATAAATAGTTTACATTCTTTCACACTCCCCCACCTCTCAAAGCCCCCCAACCCAACTCCGTCGTTTAAAATGGTGATTAGTTGTGTAATGGCGCTTTTGGCGATACGCTGCAAGCTATGAGGTACATGTTTTAGGGAATTTGAGAGCGATCTGAACAAATTGGATCCAGAATCTTTAACACAAATGTCAAAACAGTCATACTTTACGCATAAAGTACAGACCATTACAAACACATGCCTTAGAAAGATCCTGAACATCAAATGGCCAAATGACATCACCAATAATGACTTACTACAAAGGACTTACTAGGTGACATCATAAAGAAAAGATGAAGTTGGATAGGCCATACTCTCCGAAAACCCCCAAAAAGCATCACCAGACAATCTCTGAAAAGGAATCCACAAGCAAAAAATAGAGGGGAAGACAAAGAATACTTGGAGACGCGAGCTGGAGGCAGACACGAACAGTATGGGATACATCTGGAAGCCACAGGAAAGCACAGGACTGAGATGAATGAATGGAAAATTCTTGTGGACGGCCTGTGCCCCAAATGGGGTAAAAAAGGCATTAGAAGAAGAGTACTTTACGACCTTACTTTACAGCAACATAGTATTATATTTATTCGCTATTCGACAGCCATTGGCTTTATCTATACCTACTCCAGGAATACAAAATTTCAGAGCCAGGTAACTGTTCCTCAGATGGAAGGCTAGGTACATATAACTATAAATGTTTTTATGTCGACGTTTGATGCGAATCCAGCCAGTAAATGAGAGCCCACCCTCACCTATTCTAAAGGTAATTTGGAATTCGGGATAAACTCACTGCCTAAGTTGAAAATGAAAATGAAAACCTCACTAATTTTTCGGCCCTATCAAATAAATTGTATTAACTTTTATTTAAGTAAGTAAGACTGCCAATCATTGGAGTTCAATAATAATTGTTCAGACTGGATTATCATCTTTGATTACTCGCGATGTTTTTGAGAGATTGATTATTTAATGAACGCTCTTCTCGCGCTTGACTTGATGACGCTCATTTTGACTTATTGTCTAGTCTTTTGTGTGACGTACGCTTAAGTCGTGCGGCAGTCTTGAAAGAAACTCTATGAAAGGAGATTATGTTTTATTTCTCTCTGATAGTGAGCTGCGCCATCCTTGTGTGAAGGAATAGGCAGTCTGTGAATTTAATTAGATATTTACGTTGCATTTATTATTTTAAAAAAAGGACTTGAGTTGATTCAGTTCTAGTAAGACGTATTACAACATGTAAACACTTGATGAATTAACCAATTTCGTGTTAACAGGAGTTTGACAAAGACGTACTTAAATATTTAAAAAGAAAAGATGTGAATATATTTATTTAAATAATATATTCATTATGTTTCATTCACAAGCCGGTCTGCAATAAATTTCACAACAATTCAAATAATTTAATAATTAAAAACACACAAAAATAAAGAAACTTACCCTAAGCCATAAACACCTCTTGTGTCCTTGAAATTCTAAATTGAGGCAATGGTCATAGAAATTTTGAGTGATTGATGGGACATCAAATTTGTTTAAGAAAATTAATGTCCCGTTGAGTTGTAGTTTTAAAGAGTTTTCGTCGGCTGTCAATTTTATGCCAGAATTACTTCCAGAAGCTTGGCCGCAGTTGTAATCTATTTATAGTAAGGAAGTAAAATAAAAGTGTCATTAATGTGGTGGCAATACAATTTAATGATAGAAGCCAAAGTAGTTTTAAATGAAATGTGAGTCAAAGCGTGTCTTATGAGTGCCTTATGTGTGTCGCGTCTTATGTGTGTCTTATGTTTGTTAGTAAGTACCACTTTGCTCTACTTGTATTCCTCTAGTATTTTTTTCACAATAATTATTAGCTCAATCACATACTAACAAAGTTACTGGGGTACTTTGAGTATAATAAAAATAATTTGTCAAAATATGTACCAAATAGCTCTCTTGTCTCCGGAAATATTTTTTTAAAAATATATATTTTTTCAAAAGTTATATATATATATATTATATATCAGGCATTTACGGATTTTGAGATATTGGTACCTGCATTAAAAAAAAGTCTTCAAACTATTGCCTTGCAGTTGAATTATATTTTTACAACAGACCGACGACTAAAGTTCAGGAAGCGGTTATCAACACAAAGAAGGAAAAATTGGTTGTACCGTGTATAAAAACTCAACCAGACAGTCTGAAAAAAATGATTTCACCATTGAAGAGTTTTATCACTTGCATGGGAAAAAAGAAAAACCTAAGACCCTTGCAAACTGTAACAGGCACGCCTGCCATAGATGATAAAACTGCTTTGGCCTTTAACAGGCATTCTACTAAGGTAAGTCTTAAACAGCGGGAGACCGAAGAAAGCCATAAACTGAACCGTCTCAGCAAATATGGAGGGGGGAAAAACGCCCATCAGTGGGGACCTCATGCCGAAGTCTTCACCGCACCCTATACTCTGGTGGAACTGTAAATAAAAAAAAATCAACAAGTGCAAGGTATCCAAGGCACCAGGACAGGACAAGACCTGCAAGGAAATTGTCATAAACCGTGGCGCGAAAGCCAGGACATAAACAGATTATGGGTAACAGGAATCCTACCAAGAATTTGGATATTTTTCCTACTCCCAAGGGGAAAATAGCGATCACCCAAGCGGCTACCGTCGTGCTTTGGAAAGTTGGCTGAAAGAACGGTAAATGAAATACTCTATTGCTACCTGGAAAGTGCCAACGCTCTAAATACAAACCAGGCGGGCTCCCGGAAGGGGAATCAACCAATAGTCCAGGTCCTCGGTCTTCTCCAGTCCATAACAGATAGGCTCCAGAAAATGTCCTATACTGTGGCTGTATTCTTTGGCCTACCACATGCTTATGACTGAGTTTGGAGTTTCAATGTATTGTTAAAATTACACGTCCTAGGCGTAGCTGGTAAAACGTGAATTGCCACAAGGCCTACGCATAGCTGCAAAAAAAAACAAAAAACTAACCGGTGGCTTGCCTGTTTTCTCACAAACCGAATAATCAACACAAAGTTTGGCAGCAAAATCCGAGGTAAGAAACTTTGAAACATGGGGCTACCACTGGCCTTACTTTCACACACTTTCTCGTCTATGACTAACCATCGATATAAGCAACTAATGCGGCCATGAATGCGGACGACTTTGTAATCAGGAATACCAGTAAGGATGCCAACTGACTGCAAGAGCTACTACAGCGTGAAATTTTGGCTTTCTCTAGGTACATGCAGTGGTGGCAGATGAAAATTAACGCCGAATGTTCTATTCACTTTTTTTAAAAATAGGATATTCTCATGCAGGAAATCGTGCTCAATGTGAATTATATGGCCCTCAAAGGTAAAATCAATTGATCTACATGTGAGCCGAAATGATTCAAAAGTTAAAAATGCACTATCAATTTTGTACAAGACATGAACTCCAAGGTGACCGATAACTCAACCCAGTGAAAAGGCTAGGATGCACACATGGAAGCGCTGGAGAAAACACACTCAGAGTTCTTTTCCTGAGTAGTGTAAGGTAGTGATTGGAACACGGCATCGCCGTTCAAGACTTTAAAAGGAAAACTGCATTTGAAAAATATTTGGCCGTATCCACATTAAGGCTTTGAGATTCATCTGTGGTGCATTTAAAACCACAGCCACAGCTGAGGTGGAATTCATTGCCAACGTAGAGTCATTAGACATAAGAAGGGACAACGATCCACCGTAGAACGAGTTTATAGGCTAAAAAAAAAATAGCCGTCATTAACATGCAGAATAATTGGGTAGCGGGGAGTCGACTACCAAAAGTGAAACATTTGTTTTAATATATTTTTAAAATATCCCTCTCTCTCTCTCTCTCTCTATATATATATATATATATATATATATATTGCGATTTATATTGTTTGTTTTATATATAAAATGTGTATGAGTTTATAGGCTAAAAAAAAAATAGCTGTCATTAACATACAGAATAATTGGGTAGCGGGGAGTCGACTAACAAAAGTGAAACATTTGTTTTAATATATTTTTAAAATATCTCTCTCTCTCTCTCTCTCTATATATATATATATATATATATATATATATATTGCGATTGATATGGTATGTTACATTTATAAAATGTGTATGAAAGCTCCATGCGTAAAACAAATCGTTGTATTGATAAATCGTTCAAAATGCAAAGAAAGATAACTCACCATTTTTTAATTTCTCGAATGCGTTATCCAAAGATTCGGCTGTTATTGTAGAGACTGAACTTTCTCCGTTGAATTGGCTTTCCAATTTGAAAAGTTTCAAAAGCAAAGACTTCAAGGCGATACGGTCGCTCCAAAGTTCTTGGAAATATACTCTAGCGTATACCAATAACGTCAGAAAAACTTGGACGACAAGATTCCAAATTTGAACTTGCACAATGACAGTAAAGATTAACATGACAAAAAGACTTATTAACAAAATGGCATCTAAAAGCGACGCAAATAAGAAAAAGACATAAAAGAAATAGCTTATGTAATTAAGTGGTTTTGGGGAGTCCCGTAAGGTGTCTCTCACGATGATTACTGCAGCCCCAATTACATTCAGCACCAAAAGAGTAATCGCAGTACCGTACTGGACTTTTAAATCAGCACCCCATTGAAAATAGAAAGGACCTTGTAGTCCTCTTGCACTAAAAGCATCAACCAGTTCTTGATACCAAAAATTAGGATTCCGCATGGCGCAGATTAACCAAGTACTTGTAAGGATTAAAATTATCATGAATGATGATGTTCTGCTGAACTTTAAACAGAGCTTTGAGCATTTCTCATTCGCTTCTTCATCCTGAGGAGAAAAAAAAGGATTAGTTTTGAAAAATTTATAAAGCACTATTATAGAGCACTTTAATAACTTTGCCTCAAAGTCAAGTCATTGTTTTGCCAATTAAATATTGCATTTAGCATTTTTTTGTGTGGAAAGTATGTGAACAAATTATTGTTCTTCGGAAATTTTTTTTAAAAAAAATCATATTATAAAAAATATTCACTATGACGAAAAAAAAGTAAGAGTTTCATATTACATATTACATCATTAGATCTAAATTGATATATAGTTTAAAGCACACTGGCCCATAACCTTTAGGCGGCAATAACAACAACAACCAGGGAGTAATAACTTTTTCCATGCTATTAGCCAACTATCTAGGTCATCGTATTCGTTCAGCAGCCTGTGACAAGGCACCTTTACACTGGTATTTTTAACAGTCACTTTGTAGATCTCGTTTGCATCTGTGTCTTTAAGTTTTTTGTTGAACTCCTTCATTCCTTTCATTGTCTTTTGTGGAATAGACAAAATGTTTTGTCTAAGAAAGAGAACAGTAAAAGTAAACGAGAGCTTAAATATTTACAACTATTCCAATGAGATAACAAAAAAAGGTCAGAAGGGATATCTTTAAGTTTAGCTTGAGTCTAATGGTACCCGGGTGCGAATGAATGGCTGTGCTGCGTGTCCGGGTCCATTTGGACTCAATGCTATTTGGATGTCATTTGTGGTAGTTTATTTTAGATAAATTGAAGAATTAAGTTTACAAACGTATAGTCCATTCAATAATCTTTAATTTTGTCTTACAAACTCAACAATAAAATTTTAAATAGTTTTTTATTCCCAACCTCTTACTTCTGCTATCCGTGTACGAATACCAACTTCGTACCTATATGTGTTTACTTAATGTGTGAATTCCTATTCATCATTGTACCTTATTTTTTTTAGCACATTGTAAAATTCTTCAACTATTTTACCGGTACAAGAAACACAATAGTCTGTAAGTTCTTCTTGTTCTTCTATATATTAAGGGTCACGATCAATTTGTTGATCAGTTTGGCTCTAATGCATGTAGAGGGGATTTGCATGTTTCTTTGCCTGGTGTTAATAAGGATATTTCAATGGTTCCAAGGGCTACTTTGTGGGGTATCATGTATCAGGGTTGGAAGGCAATAGACACAAATGTGTCAAGTGTTGTCGCCTCAACTGTTCCTTTTGAAGCTTGTTCCTGTCCCTTATTTTATTTTATTTCATGATTTTAATTATATTTCTTTTATTGTGTAATTTATTAGTAACTTATTAATTGTAGTTAGCACTGTTTTGAATGTGTTTTACTAGCGAGAGCTCGGCATGCGTTGCAATGCCACTAAAAGAAAAATGGTTTGTGTTTTAATTATGTTTTTTAAGTAATTTTAAATAGAAAACATTTTTTTTCCGTCTGGTGCGTACACAAATAAATAAGAAGATTTTTGGACGCGTTCTTGGCTCACATAGAGCTATCCCCGTGAAAAGCATGGATTTGATAAATTTAGTCCACACACTTGTAGCGATTGATCAACCCCTACAGCACTGCTCTGTTTTAAATTATATTTATACAGCACACACAAAAATAATCAAAATAAGGCCCCCGACTCTAAATGCCAAATTATAAAATGAATTTTTTTTTATTTAGAAACCTAATTATTATTAAAACACAAACTTAAATGTCGCTTGTATTTTATTAAATTCCATCCACTCATGCTATATGGTCTTAATCCATTTTTTTTAAAATAAAATCTTCGCTCTGTTTGAATTATAAGTGGATAGCTAAACTATTCAAAGAAGCGTTTTGTTACCATCCATCCATCCATTTATCCATTCATCCGTCTATCCAAACGATCGTCCGTCCACTCATCCATCCATCCATTTAACTATCTATCTATCTATCTATCTATCTATCTATCTATCTATCTATCTATCTATCTATCTATCTATCTATCTATCTATCTATCTATCTATCTATCTATCTATCTATCTATCTATCTATCTATCTA